CCGTGCCTCCCGGTCCTTTGCTCGTGCCCTTAGACGGACTGTCGGGAGGTGGAGGTGGACTTGTTGTTGGAGGAGGAGAACGAGGGTGAGGGCTTGTGCCTCCCGGTGCTTTGCTCGTGCCCTTAGACGGACTGCCGGGAGGTGGAGGTGGACTTGTTGGAGGAGGAGAACGAGGGTGAGGGCTTGTGCCTTGGGGTGAGTTCCTTCCCTTGTCATCCCCGCCATTGTCTTCGTCATCGCCATCGCCGTGATCCGGATCATCGGGGGGACAAGATCCGGCAACGGATGGTTGTGATGCTGGTGTCACCGTCAGCGTAGAAGTCGGCGTCGAGAGAATGATCTCTATGTTGTCCTTGTTCCACAAGACTTCGGAACCCAAGGCAGCTCCAAGGATCGTTACCCCTTCTGCATTTGGATATTCTATTTCAAATTCTTCGTATTCGGTCGCATACCATGTAAGTATCACGGCAGCATAGTTGGCAGGGATCTGGTCTTGGTTGAAATCTTTGATATCTTCTTTGGGGTGCATGTAACCCTCACCCACGGTCAATTTTTTCGCCCTGCCGAACGGGATCGTGAGCTGGACGCGCATGGGTTCCCGGATGGCGTCGACGGGGTGCCTTGGGCGATCCTCAATCATCGGCAGTGGCTGCCCTTGTGTTTGCCCTTGTGGAACTTGAGGCACGGCCACGCCAGCCTGGCGAAGCATCTGTGACCTCATCGACACCATATCTGGGTCATTGCTCGTGAAGGCTTCTTTTATGGACCGGCTGATCATTTCGGCCACGCCTTGATCATAGCCCTTCTGAAAGATGCCCTCCTTGTACCTCTGCCTTGACCGGTATGTGGCAGCGTTGGATTGCCATGACTCCACTGAGTTCCATCTCATCTTCGACGACATGCCACGGACGCGGCCACGGTGCTCGGGGGTTCCCAGCGCCAGGGTCAGCAAGTCCTGGCCCCTGCGAACCTCGAAGCTGTCCTTGGATTTAGCGGCCTCGATGAGAGCCCTCTCCACCTCCTCGAACTTGGGCTCATTGAACTTGCTCGCGCCCTCCTTGAGCTTCTTCGGCTTGCGGGCATAGATGAAGTCCTTAGCCCTCAAGTCTACACCGTCGTACGGATCGGGAAGCCCGGTGGCAGCTCTAGCCCTTTCTTCCTCCCGCCACTGGGGCCTCTTACCAGCAAACCCAGTCATGCCCAAGTGGTGGGGGTGCAGGTTCTTCTTCGCGAGTGCGCTGAACTTGGCGCTCTTTGCCTTTGCTTCTTCTGTTGTTCTTTGTTTGCAGAACTCTTCCCAGTGATGTTCCTTCACCATAGTGTATTTGACACAGGGTGACTTGCCTAGCTTCAGGTAGTACCTGGTCAGCATGGACTTGAAGTTTCTAAAGGCTCTTCCTACCACGTGCATGACCCACTCCCTGCACTTGTTCAGATCGGCGTCCTCGGGATAATGGAAGCTCCTCGTCACCTCACCCCAGATATGTGTCTTGTAGTCGACCGGGACATTGTTCCACTCCTCCCAAGTGATCTCCACCTTGTCCTTGACTATACATGCCACCTGGTTGCTGAACTTGGCAAGGACCGTGGGTGGCGACAATGGGTTTCCCTCTGGTCCCACCTCATGGATCACATGGACTTCATCGTGGATTTCCCTCCGGTGCCTCCCATGTTCCCTCCTTCTCAGCTTTGTCCTCTGACCCCTAGACTTGCCTGAAGTGGTTGGAGATGGAGCGGGGGGTTCTTTGTCCCTGACTTGTTCCTCCTCGAAATTCAATTCTCAAGGCACCACCGGCATATGTTCAGGGTTTGGAGACCGCGCACTTTCAACTTCGTCGTCCCTCGATTGGTAGGTCGGATCATCTTCGTCCTCTGTACGACGTTTCTTTGTTGGCCTCAGGGTCACGGACACGTGGCTCTCGAGGCTAGTTGATGATGATGCACTAGGGGTAGGGTCGCGCCATTCGCTTATCGGTTCCTCCGCCATTGGAAAGCTACAATGAATACATATTTCAGTTGTATAGACACAGTTATAGAGTAGTAAAGTAGAGTAGTACTAGAGTAGTAAAGTAGTAGTAGTTGGCTCAGATTTGCCCCATTGTCATCACATCGCTTTTAAACTGGTTGCTTGTATACGGTATACGAAGGCCATCCTAGTTTAGCGGGGCACTCGATCATCATCGCCATTTGCAAAAGCATAAAAAGGTTCACATCATTGCATATGCCTTTGCCTCGGCTTAGAAGTGTGAAAAGAATCATCATTGCAAATACCAAACAAAAGCCATCAAGTGTAGTCAAAATCAAATAGTAGAGTGTAGTAGCAGATAGAGTATAGTAGTAGCAAAGGGTGTAGTAGTAGAGTATAGTAGCAGACTAGTAGTAGCGACAAGCAGTATAGAAAATAGTAGTAGTAGCAGAGATAGTAGTATAGTATAGTAGTAGTAGTAGTAGTCATATATAGGTACAGAGAGTAGAGATAGTGGTAGTGTAGTTGTACTAGTTGTAGTAGTGGTAGAGAGTAGAGTAGAGATAGTTAGTAGAGAAGTGTAGTAGTTGTAGAGTAGTGGAGCAGCCAACAGTGTGTACAGCATGAGTAGAGTAGTGTAGTAGTAGTTGTAGAGTAGTAGAGCCCACAATAGGAGACACCAACCAAAGCATATGTGCCAAAAAAATCAAAATAGGACATGGGAGTACAAGAGCGGTGAGAGTGTAGTACAGCATGCAGAGTAGTAGTAGTATAGTAGTGGAGCATCCAGCAAGTACAAGTAGTATAGTAGTAGCAGATAGTAGTAGAGTATAGTAGTAGCAGATAGCAGTAGAGTGGCAGCAGCAAGTATCCTCCTAGATTCAGAGATATGATGAGTACAAATCATAGGCAAGTGGAAAAAGCCAACCCTTCTCTTCCCTTCCTGCTTGTCTCTAAACTCGAGCACCCACTCAAGAGTAGTACAAATTAAAAGGAGCGAGATCCAAGCAAAGGACATGGGTGTGCACATGTATGCCCTCGATAATTTAGTACTCACAAATAGGCGAGTGGCATCATATATATCTAGTGCTCGATTAACAAGAATCGCATCATAGGCAGCATTTAGTATTTTTTCTTCCAAATTCATCTCAACATGTGCCATCATAGGCGGTGGCATCAAGTGCTCAATAAATGTAATTGCATCATAGGCAGCAATAGTTGGCATTGCTCAGGAAAACTCAAATCGGAGAAGAACATCCATAGTTGGCATTGCTCCATAGGAGGGATTAGGGAGCAATTGGCACATTACCGGGCGGTCTCCTTGGGGCTCATTGCGGGCGGCTGGCGGCGTTAGGGTTAGGCGCCCGTGAGAGAGGACAGCCTTGGGCCGCGGATGACTACGGGGACGGAGAGGCGGACGGAGACGGGGACAGGAGACGGGGGAGGATAGCACACCGGCGCGGGGACGCGGACGGAGGTACACGTTGCCCACGCGGAGAGCACACCGGCCCCGGAGGAGGAGGACGGCGACGGATGCAGCGAATGGCGATGGCGGCGGCGGAGGATGGGCCTAGGGTTCCGGCCCGCGTTCCCGTCGACGTCCAAAGGCACCATGGTGTGGGTGCGTGTGCACGGAAGGAGGACGAGGGCACCACGGCGCGGAGGGCAGGGGCGACGATGGAGGTGCACGGTGCGGGTCCATTGTTGACTTAAGCTACCGCCATTAGAAAAGATATTTTCACTCGTGGCTGATTATGTCAGCCGCTGGTATCAATGTCTCTATTTCTAGAGGCGGTTGTCTTGTCTTTAGGCGGCCGACGGCTGTCTTAAGAAACCGCTCTGGAAATTCTAATTAAAATGACACATATATAAAATTTTTATATCAAAATTCAAGAGTCCTACAAAATCTACAACTTTGTAGTCTAAAATTCTCTCATTTGAAATCATTTAAGGGTCCAAATATTTGTTAGCGGTTCTAAAGGTCAATTATGACAGTGGCCTTTTAGTTTGTTCCCTATGCATGCGTTTGTACCATGTTGTCGTGTGTGTTTATAGTAATCGTCTTGAGTCATATATGACAGTGGCCTGGTTGTTCAGCTCCTGTACATTGTTGTATTGCCCAGAACTTCTTGCGCTGTCTTGCCAGGCAGGCTCAGCACGTAATTCATCTGCAATGCCAAAACGTTGTTGTGATGATGTCCACAGGTATGAGATGGTGCAAATTAATCTTTCCGGGGCGTATGAATGAGCAAATAAATGTCATGCCGCTCAATGTTTACAGATAATGAAGTGTTTCCAGCTTCAAACATCATTTGAAGAAAATATATTATGCTACAATTTATTCCAAAAGAGATACTGTAGCATATGTGCCAACAATAAAATTTGAATCCACGACATTAATAACTCTGAAGAAAGGAATTCATCTCCAAATTGCTGCTTGAGTCATCTTGCTTTCGCGGCTTGTTTCGTAATGTTCACACAAGCCAAATCCATCATAGGGGAAGAGAAACAACTTCATCTGTTGCTTGAAACTTTAACCACCAAAGCAACACTACTGATATAAGCATCATCACTTCCACTTAAATAGGCAGTAAGAATATGTTGGATACAAATCGCTACTGACGACTTTGAATTTGGAAGCCATAGTACATGCACAAATAGGACTGCCACACCAAAATCCTCCAAAGCCATGCCTCCAACAACAACAACACGGCTATAGTCACTGCCACCGCTTTGCTTGGAACAAGGCAAAGTTTTCACATGGAAACTAGTGGTGAGGTACATTGGGACACAGTGACGACATCTCCATGGAAGATATTGGCACCAAAAGGTGTCGTCACTGTCGAGGCTGGCACAAAGACCAGCATGGCTTTAGCCGGTGCACAATAACCTAATGTCTTTTCTCCATAACAATCATATATTATTACAACTTGTTATGTATGAATCCCGTTAGGATTACAAAAGGAAGGCGGACAAGAGACTCACCGTCTCAGCTCAGCTGTTGCTGGTATGGGGAACAGTGGCTTCATCCTCCTTAATTGTGACATGCTCTTCTCGGAGATATATTTCTCTCTGGAACATGCTGGATCTTCTGCCAATTTTCGTGTCCCTCTACTTGGCAGGTTCTACTGAGCACACGGCACCCGTGGATTTCAATCTTCACAAGCGACCGTGGCAGCGTCGGAAGGCGCTCCATCTTATCGCATCTCATAATTAACACACTCCGGAGCGAAACAAGGAGCTCCATATTTTCTGGTAAGCTGTCCCAGTTGCAAAGGGAAACCTGAAGCTCACGCAGACAACTGAACAACTCGATATCTCCAGGAAAATACTCCAATGGGCTGCAATTATGGAGTTTAAGTTGTTGCAGGTGCTTTAGGGCGTCTGGATTATGGTGACTTAACATCCAGCTAGGATATCTCGAACCCTTGTAGCGGTTGATTGTGAGTGCTACAAGATCCTTCGGGGGACAAAGGCCCTCAAGTACCTCTGCAGCGGCATCTGGAGTCTGGCCCCCCATCATCCAGCCATGGTACCTTGTAGCCTTGTCACGGTTGGTTGACCGTGAGCTCTTCCCAGGATCCTCTGGTGGTAAAAGGAGGTTAAGTATCTCTGCCACGGCGTTTGGATCCCCGGCCTGACGGACACAGAATGACAGTTCCAGTTTTCTTAGTCGTTTCTTGCCGGCTAGGTGGGCTTCAAGAGCTTCCTCTTTGCTTCTGACAATCCCGAGACCATCTATCACCAGCGTACCTCGAAGGTTGTTTAGGTGCTTCAGCTGCTTCAATTCGTACCCTTGTTCCTTCTTTACTTGGAAGTATCCTAGTGATTGGAGTGACGTCAGCTGCCTGCCAATGTTTGCAAAATCCATCGACGATGAAGAGCTATGCCGCAACGAAGTGAGATTCTTAGTGATATCTTCAGCACAGGAAACCTTCTCAGCATATATGCTCTGCATATGGTAAAGCTTGCTAAATGTGCTTGGGAAAATAAGCTCCACACTGCGATGGGAACAGTCCATATTAAAGTTAAGATAACGTAGATGCTTCATCTGATCAATAGATGATGGAACTAACAACACTTGTTCATGGTAGTATTTTGTTTTAAATATCAGCACCCGCAGTTTCCTCAGGCTCTTGAACATTCTGTCAAAGAGTTTTTCGTTAATTAAGGTGTGGTCCAATTCCTCAGCATCTTGAGCTGCAAATATTTTCCTCTTATTTTCGCTGTACTCTTCATCAATGATGAGAGTGCGTAGATTTACCAAGTCCAGAATTTTCTTTGTAATCACTGCTCTATTGTCAGTCCCAATACCAACAAAAAGATGGCGAACCTCTTGCGGAATATCTTTTGGTAGGGCATTTGAAACAATTCTGAAGCATTCAGTTCCGCAAACCCTCTCAGCCAACTCGTGTAGCAGGTCATGAATTGTGAATGCCTCAGTTTCAGTACCAAAAATTGTTCTTTCTACTTGCAGAAATGAGAATGTCAGTAGTTCGTTTAAGTAGCGGAGGCCTATGTCTTCCAATTGCTCTGTTGCATTCATCCTGGTGTTTACAAATCCATGTGCTATCCAGATGCGAACCAACTCATCTCGTACTAACCTGTATCCTTTCGGGAAAGTGCTGCAGTATGCAAAGCATCGCCTGATGTCTATACCTAGCTGCTGATAGCTCCACCACAGAGCTCCCATTGTTTCATTCAACATGTCAAGGTTCCCTGTTGTTTCCCAGAAATCGAAACTGTTGTTACTCTGAAGCCGTGCTGCTACTGTTATTGCTGCAATGGGTGATCTGCCAAGCCTTTTCGCAATTTTTCTCCCTATTGCTATAAATCTTCCATTATCAGAACGCGTGCCTTCTAGGGCATAGTGCATGAACATTGAGAAGTACTGCTCTTCTTCCATATCCGGTATTGGGATTTGCTCCTGAGCACCTAGAGCTGCAGCTGCATCTTTCTTCTGAGCTGTCACCAGAATTCGGCTTCCACTCTGCCCAGCATCCAGCACACCAAGTAGAATAGCACGTTCCTCTCTGTTCTCACCACTGACCCAGAGATCATCCAGTACCAACAAGAAACGTTTTCCTTTCAACTTTTCCTTCAGCTCATCATGTAGACCTTTCACATCATTGCTGTCAGATTGCCGGTCTTTCCTGATCTCCCTCAACATGTCACGAAATATCTTATCCACTCTAAATGCCTCAGACACATGAATGAACATGACAGGGTCAAAATGTTGGCCTTCGGCCTTCTCATAATAATCACAAACATATTGTGCCAGGGTACTCTTCCCAGACCCTGCAATGCCATATATACCAATCACAGAATAATGTTTACTGGTACTGGAGCTTGGTGTATCCGGACCAGGTCCCCTACGAAGCATACTAATAATCATCTCACGCTCCTTATCTCGACCGAATACCTTCCGTTCAATGCTTCTGCACAGGTACTCAATATCCTCCTGCCTTCTACTCCTTTCTTTGTTACTATCCTTCTTGGGAATTTGGCTGCTGCTGCTTTCCTGATTCAACAGATGTGATTTCTTCAAGTCATTGAGAACGTTTTCTAAGTGCTCTATTCTTTTCGTCAAGCTATTTCTAGCAATGGTTAGCAAGAAAGAACCTGTTGCTGTGCCATCCTTCTGCAAGAAGCAAGCTAGCGTCAAATGATTATCCTACCTCCATGTTAAGGTATATGGCATTCTTCAATTTGTGCAGTCAGACGTTTTAAAGATGACCAGTAACGTATAAAAAAAGAATTATGTTAATGGGGCTGAATTCCCTATCTATAATACTCCCCATGTTAATCAGAGGAAATATCTAGAAATATTCAAATTAATAAAATAAAGAACATCCCGGTCACCATGGTTTAAGATTCCTTGAAGGCTTGGGTTAACATTACTTTGACAGAGCCATATGATCATGTCGCATCTGCCTTGGTTATATACTTAGATGGCAACCAAAATAGGTAGCACAGGGCAGCATGGGAAAAATTAGGGTATCTGTTTTCCAGAAACTTGATGTCTGGTTATGGAGATGGGAAAGATAAGGCTCAGTGTGTTGGAAACAAGACTTTAGCTACAGCCTTCCTTCATCGTAGATGTGTAAGGTAATTACAATATGATGCTAGGACATGATTGATCATGCAAATCAGTGTATCCCTTCCACCTTCACGGCTTCACCTTGCACCCTCTTCATTCAATGGGATGGTTTTACAGAATCTGTGCTTTGCACATGGCAGGTACTTTCTGCATCTAAGTGCCAATAACACTCATTATTGTCTTGTCTAGTTCTATAATGATATTTCTTTATCAAGGCTTTGACCTGAGTATAACTGATGAATCTATTGTGTCTTGTTGATGTACACAATTCCTCCAAAATGATAGTGAGAAAAAAGAATATCTATATAAGAATTATGTTCCAAGCTACTTTGCAGCCATGGGTTTCACTTATACTCACACCGTTGCTACTTGTAAATTTATTTCTAGCCATTCGTTTGGCTTGTACTCACACCATTTCTACATTTTATTTTAATTCAATTACATTTTATTTTAATTCAATTAATGACATGCAATTCCAAGAAAAGAATCAAACCATCTCAAAAGACAAGCACACCACTCAACATAATGATTTCCAAGCTAACCCAACCTTTCCTTGCACAAGTAAAGCAAAAATGGCGCTTTCTAATTAACAAAAAACGATTAATTTTATTTGTGGAATGAGAGAAGAAACATGATGAAATTGAACATTAATGAACTGGTGCCAGAATTATAGCAGCTAGAATTGGTCACAATGATAAGATGGTACCTGATTACTTTTGATGCCAATAACTTTATATGACCAATCCTGGTTAGCTGCAATCACATCGGCTGGCAAACCATAGAGCGTCTGAATCCCAGATTGACATAACTTGGCAAATTTGAATACGAGATGCCTGAACTGGCTACAGAGTCTCGGCACCCCATATCTACAGCAGTTGGTGATTTTGAGTACGAGGTGCCAGAACCAGTCACAGAGCCACTGCATCCCAGATCGACAGCTGTTGGCGATATGGTACCCGCCACAGAGCCTCTGAACCACAGAAATGGAGGATGCACGGGAAATTGGAAGTTGCCCACCTGATCTTCCGAACAAGCTCCCCTTGCAGCAGGTGATGCAAAAGTCAACGCCGCCGTGCAGGTGCTGCACCCAGCTGCTTCCCTTGCAGTGGACCATGCAAGCGCCAAAAGCGCAGAGGATTTGCTGCACCCAGCTTCTGCCATTCTCTTTGGCATCATCAACGATTTTCTTCTCGATCCGATAATAATCTATCAGATCCAGGATTTCCTCCGCTTCATACAAGGCAGATTTGAGTTCTGTCGCCAGTCCATCGAGAGTCCTCAAATCAGACTCAGACCTCACATCTTTAGCTGCTCTAAGCATCCTCTGCTCCTCTACTTCTATCAGAGTCTCCTTCAGACTTGGGACAGTGAGGTTCTCCAGGTTACTGAGTTTTCTTGATGTGTCGTTAAGGAGGATGGAAAAGAATTTGTTCACGAGAAAGGTGATGATGGGTACCAGCAGCCAACTCATTATTGGGATGCCCAGGGCTATGCCTGCAATAACTTCCGATGTTTTTGCCATGGGATTCTTTTCTTAGAAGGAGATGTGGGTTGTGGGAAGAGGGAAGAGGGAAGAAGGATGGATCTTTGCACTTGCAGTTCTGATCGGCTTGGTACCACATTAATTAAGAGGGGAAGATGGCGCCAGTGACTCCACAAGTTTTCTTAGAGAGATTCTTTATATGTGTATTACCACCAACAGCGACATTTCAGATTAGAAAAAAAAAATGAGTGGCTAGAATGCAACCGCAAGGTAGTCTGAGTTCCTGGTCCCAACAACCCAGGCACCATCAATTGATTTGTGAAAAACAAAAGTTTGAAGAAGACAAGCAGACAAAAAAAGGATGGTATAATGAAAATTTAGAGAAATAAAAGCATCCATCCAGAAAAATACAACCTTGTCGCGAACCTTGTTTGGAGTTTGTTCAGGAGCGAGCAAATTAATAATGGATGACAGGAACCAACAGATCGAGTATACTTAGGGTCTGGTTCCAAACTTCTAAAATTTTTAATAGCCTTCTAAAACCTTCTAAAAAAGTGTTTGGTTCTACCTCCTAAAACTGACTAAAGGCAATAAATACAGTGGCAAAAGGACCAAGATGCCCTCCCCAGTTACCCCTGGCGCTACTCTCTTTCTCCCTCAGCTCCGCACGCCACTCTTTCTCCCTCCAGTCTCCTCCCAATTCCTCAAATGCCGCAGCCACGCCTCACACACGTTCCGCCGCCGCCGCCGCTTCTTCCGGCGACGTCGCCGTCGATCCACCGCCGCCGTCGCTAGATGCACGCCCGCGCTACCTGGATCCGCCTCCCCCTCACTCCCCCTGACCTCTTGCTTCTTCGCTCAAGCCTCCCCCTCACCGGCTCCATGAGGGATGGCGGCGGTCGCCGCCGGCGTTGGTCCCGCCGCGGGGAGGGTCACCGGCACTGCAGGACGCGGCGCGGCGCGGCGGACGGGTGCCTCCGCCCTCCCTGCGCCCAAACGGCGGCTGCTACGGGTGCCCGCCACCGGCGCCTCGGCCTCCGGCCCCGCCCACCAGGGCCTCGTCCTCTGGCCCCGCCGGCGGAAGGACGGGGTGATGGGGCACACGAATGCGGCGGACGGAGTGGCGGGGCGGCCGCCGGAGGTGGACGACATGGTGGTGGGCCGCGCGGAGGCGGTAGAGGAGGGGGTGGACGGACGACCACCCGAAGAGGTCCTCGCGCGGCGGACATTGCCGCGCCGCGGCGGTGGAGATTGGAGCGGAGCCGGTGCCGAACGTCGTGCTCGTCTTCCTCACCGGCCCGACGCTCGGCCTCTCCAAGGGAGCGGGGGCGTTGGATCCGGCGGCGCAAGGGAGTGGGGGCGGCGGATCCGGCGGGCGCTGGCGTGGAGGAGGGAGGGAGCGGGGACGGCGGCGTTCGGGACGTTGGTGCGGGGGCGTGGGGGAGCGTGCGGTCAGGAGGGGTACCTCAGGTTCATGATGGACTTTAGGAGCTTTTAAGAGGGGGTGGAGCTCCTAAAGTTTTTGGCCCCTCCTAAAGTTTTTAGGAGCTTTTAGGAGAGGGTGTTTAGTTCTTTAGACAAATTTTATCTAGATTTTAGCTTCTAAAGTTTTTAGGAGAGGTAACCAAACAGGGCCTTAGGCACCAGACAATTGCCCCAAATTTTCAAAGGTAGTGGTTAGAGTATAAACATTGAGACTAGCAAATTGAAAGATGTAAGTTTGGACACATCTGGTAACCAATATAACTTAACCATTGACTCTACAAAGTGTTTTGTGTTGGGGCAATTTCCATGGTATATCGTCTTCGCTTTAGTGATTCTTTGACAAGGATTGGTAGCCTGCGAGTGTATGTGACGACAAACTAGCTAGTTCCAATTTCCTGAGCACTGCTACTTTACATATGACCAAATTGCTCATTAAAAATTTGAAGAAATTGTGTAAATTAAATACTAGCAAAAACACCGGACGAAATACGTGATGAATTTGTTCCGCCGCGGCCTCGACGGGTTCACGGCTCCGTTCTCGCCGACGCCGACCGCCAGCGGGGTGAGGGTGCTGGGCCATGGGGCCGTCGACGCGCGCACCCATGAAGCTGGGCTAAGCCCACGACACACAATTCAAGAGCCAACACGGGATCACGAATAACCAAGGCCCACGCTCCGATATATGGGCCTACTAGACGAAAAGTCCAAGGTTGCGCCACCCCATATCGTATGTCCGTGGCCATTCTTCTGTTCCCGTTATTACTGAGTACTAATGCCTTGTTAATACGCGCTTCTGAGAATTGGATGGTGCAATATCATGGAACATAATGATTTCATCTTATTATATATACAAACGGATGTCAGACATGGATATGGTTGGGCCTGACATGAAGCTTGTTCCCAGGTCGAGTCCACAAGCGAAACAGCAAGTCAGGAATGTCTAACTTGCAGCAACAAACTGAACAAGCAACACGTACCCTGTTATTTTAGCTTATAATCCACGATGGTTCTAAACCACTGGAACCAACACAGCACCCGGCGCTGCACCACACCCTCGAGGCCAAGGACAACTGGACGAGTACCAGCTACCAGCTACCAGGCCTGTGAACTGTGAAGCAAAACAGCATCGTTTACAGAGGTTCTAGAAAGAAAAAAAAAACGGAAACTTGCTTGTTTCCTTCCATTTATTTATTCATACATACACAGCAGCACGTCCAGCTGCACAGGAAAATGTAAGATGTTTTGGCCGTTCTAGGCGCATTGCTTTTATTTATCTACATACTACACATAATATACATCTAAGTGCATAACAAAAACTATATCTCTAGAAAAGCCAAAACCACTTATAATTTAGAATTGTGGGGTATAACTAATCTACCAGACATAAATAATAAATGCAGGAGGGTTGGACCTGATTATTATAATTTAGATGGTCCGGATTTACAGCATATATAAAGGGTAGGCCGTCAAGCACATTTTTGTTAAACTGCTTCATATCCATAGCTGGGCAGTATTCGATTCATATCCTCGCCGAAGGGCAGAGAAAGCCCCAGGACCACCGCTGGATCCTAAGGATGCAAGGCATTGGCAACTGGAAAGAAACAGTGTTTCTAGTGATGAACGTACTATTCGTTTGGCTTATAAGCCGTACTTTTTCAATCAACAAACAGTATTTTTCTCTCACAACAAATCAGTCAACGATACTTTCAGCCGCGGCTTATCAGCCAAGCAAACAGGACGAAACGTTTTCCAAGGATTTTTTTTTGTTCTAGCTTTAGATGTATGATTTTCTATAATTAATTCATATCTGTATTTTCTAAGGTCCAATTGTGGTAAAATTTTTATGCTGGGCTAATTATTGTATGCTTGAACTGTAGTAAAATTTCATAATCATTGAATCATGTATAACTTAGTTATAATCTATAACTTAATTATAGATTTTTGTAGTAAAATTTTTTACTACAGTAATTATCCCACCATTAAAATTTCAACACAAGTGGATCATAGAAACTGCAGCTATGAATTAATTACATAAAACATAGATCTAAAGCTGCAGCAAAAAAATTATACTAAAGCATACTCTATTAATGTTCAATGTGTAGATCTACTCATGTGGGGACCAACAAGATTGGATTTTTTATTTTATGATTTTTCTATGATTTACTATATTTTTTTTCAAAAATTCAGCCGAAGTAGATAAAAAAAGACAAAACCGTCTTTGAAAACCACTTTAACTAGTTAGTGAGGTAAAACAAACGGTTTTAAAAGTTTAGGGAGATGATTTACCCGGTTTTAGAGTTCATAGAGAAAATGCAGACTTTTACAAAAGTTGAGGAAGGTAACGTGGACATTTTCCTTTTATTTTGATCCAAGAAGGTGGGCTGGAGGATACTCGTTTTATGCCAATGGATCATGAAGTCTGCAGAAAAAGGAAAGAAACTTTGGCTCGGCCACGCCTTATGGGTGCATATGGGCTAGCGATACAGATTTGCAAAACACTGAAAATGTTTTTCTTTTTTTCGTTAATAAGGAGCTGGACATGGTTAGAGAACACATCCAGAAGCTCCTAATTTTCTGGAAGATCACATGTTAGAAAGAAAATACAGTGATTCTTAAAGACTGCACAGCCATAGGTATGGTTATGGCCTACGTTCCCGCAAAATCTCAATTAAAAAATCGAATTCATTTGAGCGAAGGACATATACGACACAAATTCTAAGTGCAGGGGCAAGTAGAGTACATGACAAAAAATCATCACCAGCGCATGGTGGCATTTCCTGTCTTTTGTACTACCTTGGATGCTGTAGGAGCGTTGTTTTTCAGCCTGTTCGTTTGTTGGTTTTAGCCATGGCTTATCAACCAGCCAATAATGTTTTTCTTTCACAATAAACCAGCATTAGTCGGATTTATCAACCTAGAAATCAACCAGCGAACAGGCCGTATATGTGGACATGTGGGAGCAGCTAATCTGAAATGATCACAGGATCAATCATGGGCATTAGTTGACTTGTTCCGATCTCAACTGCATTTTGCTGCAGTTGAGTTGAGGTGATAGATTCGAGCGCCGTGCTGCATTTAATCGCTTGTTAATGACCGAACCATTTTCACTGGACCAATGCAATTTGAGAGTTCTTTTTTTCCTTTTCTGCATCACAGACGGTCTTGATGAGTCTTTAAAATATTTTAAAAGAGGATATCGTAAATTATGCATGTTTTGACTGGAGGGAGTAATCTAGTGTTACAATATATGTTGGCAAGATTAAGTACTCATTCATATTTGGGAGGTGATCACTAGTACACCAGAGCTCACTACCGGTGGTTTCAAAGCTATTTCTACATGCGTCTGTCAGTATCGCCAGTGATAAAGGCCACTGAAAATCGTGAACTCCGTCACAGGCATCTTGTAGAGAACAGCTGTTACAAATGATTTACACTGGCTGTTTTCTTAAGAAAACTGCCACTATAAATGATTTATACTGACTGTTTTCTTAAGAAAACTGCCACTATAAATGATTTTCAAAAATTACAAATCGGGCTAAAAATAACAAAAAAAA